GGGGAGAAAAAGGGTCAGGCAGAATTCTTACCTACAGTATTGGCTTGCTTTATTTTCTACCCCCCACCCCACCCCCACCCCCACTCCACAGAGCAAAGAGATTAGAAAAAAGGATATTTTAAGACAGTAATCTGTTTGCTCTTAAATTGAGAATTATGAGATCACATTGATAGCAGCAAAGGGTCAGGTAAGGGAGAGATTTCCTACAGAAATTGCTTGCTTTCTTTTCCCCCCACTTCCCTTGCACAGTGCAAAGATTGGAGAGAAAGAAATTTCAAGAGAGTATTGTTATCTATTTGCCTAGCACGTCTACCATTCTCAGCTCTGGGCTGACACCACAAGTAAGTATCAATTCAAAGAGATTGGTTTTTTTCTGCTTTTTTCTGCTTCTTCTTTCTCATCCAAATGCTCTTCAAAGAATAATAACTTACATTCCTTTTATAAGGCACTTTATATAGTAGATAAAAGTAAAATAAGATGTTAATTAAGGAAAGTTATTACTAGAATCCACAGAAAGTATAGGTATAACAGCCATAAAAACAATAGATTATACAATCCCACCAATTTAGAGGGAATTATATATTTTTTTCCATCAGAAATAATAAATCCTATTATTTGTTTCATTGGTAGGCAAGAGAATGACATACTACTTCCCATTAATCTATACTGGATATTATTCTATATCCATAACATAGACTTGTATTTTCACACTAATTTATTTTCTATGGGGCTACAATTTTCTCCTTGGGGCTACTAGCCTAAAGAGTGACTTTCATATGTTTACAGATAGTTCTCGAGTTACGAATGTAATGGAGCCTGCCCATTCCATTCATAACTCAAGAATTTATGGGAGTGAATCCCGTACCTCAAACAAGATCACTCCCTGCTTTTGCCCAAGCATTCGCTAATTTAATATTTTTGTTTACAATCCAACTGAAGAGATGTCTTGCCTACTCTTAACACCTTTCCAGAAATATGGATATTTGAAAATGTATTGAAATACTAAAAGTTCTCTGTATTTTAAAAAGCTACTTATTTTCTGGGCAGATGCTATTTTGAAAATAATTATCTGCGCTCTAAGAATCCATGTCTCTTAAACTCTGTTTATGTATACTATAAAATTCTATAGCTTTTTCAATCTAATGTAGTATCTAGAGATCTTATATGTAGCAGTTTCATTTTTCTTTGCATTTCTCAATTAGAAATGTACACCTTTAAAACTGAAACATTCTGTCTTGCCTCTTATAATAAGATACTGACAATGAGATGAAAAATGCACATTGAAGGTCATCAGTTATTAGAAACAAATCCCTTAGTTATTATTGGAAGATATATTTCGTCTGTCCTGAACTTATTTATCAAATCAATTTTCAGTAGAGAACTCAATATGTTTCAATAGTATCCAATTCAATTTCTCCATACATCATCTACTTTTCTAATGTGACAGTTTATTTCTTCCCTGATGAAAGCTTTTTTTATATAAATATTTTATTAATTTTCTAGTTTTACCATCATAAGTACTTAATAAACAACGTGTTGTCCTGGTTCCATTAGTTATTCAGTGGTATTATTAAGTTCTTCAATCTAGGCCCAATATTACACCATCCAATGCTTCCTCTCTTCTTCCCGTAGTACACATTTTCTCACATTAGGCAAATACAATTCTTATTGTTGTTAATACATATACAATTGAATATCAACATCTTTGCTACATTTTCCTAATAATATCAATAATGTCGGTTTAAAATATCTTTTCTAACCAAAATATATCTTAATTGCATTTGCACTTAATATTCATTTGTTCAATTAATATCCTGTTTTTCCCACTTTTTTTAATTTTAATTTCCCATCAGTGTTCAGAATGTCTCTATTGCTTATAATTTCTCATAATAAGTTATATTTGGGTAACCAAAAACTTCCCTTATTCAAACCCTCTTAGCATTTTCATATTTCCCTTCTCATACCAAAATATAATATTCTAGTTATAAATCCTATCTTTCTAGTTATAATAATATTTCTATTTCTAACAATTATCTATTCTCAGCCATGTTCAAATATCTGATTAATAGTATAACATCCCATCTAATGGGTCAAAAACTCTATTTTCTTCAGTCTTACTCTAGCTTTCTTCCTTTGCCAACTAACATCAATGCATTTGAATCATCAAATAATTCTTCCTCTATTTCTGTGTATATTGTTTGGAATAAGAAAGACAATTTGATTAAAGTATTTTTGGAAGGACACTCAGTCCACTGATATTCATTAAAATCCTCCTTCTCCAATTTCCCACAATTCTCCTAACAGCTCTATCTTCCATTCAATCAGCTCTTCTTTCTTATCCTCAAGTGGATTCTGAGATCTTGACAGATATCTTTTCCTTTTCCGATATTATCACTACGTCTTCTAATTCTTCATTTGTCTAAGTCTGTCTGTTAGTTCCTTTCTTTAGGTCCTCCATCTTTGGATCTGCTTCCTCTGATTGTCCTTCTATTTTCTGGGTTGCTAGTTCCTTCTTTGTAGTCATTTTCTGAGTTTGTAGATTTAGATTAAAAAATTGTTCTTTTATCTCGTTTGTGTTGTTTTTAATCTCATCATGAGTTAAGGCAATTGTCTCTTGTATTGATTTTAACATAGAAAGAATTTCTTTTTGAAATTCATCAACATTTTCTTGTTGGTATGTCAAGCTGGGGGCTTTGGGGTCAGGTGTTAGGGATGGTTTTTTACCATTTGAAGCTAAGTATGGAATGTCCATTTTGTTTTTGTATGTAGTCTTTATAGTCCAATCTATTAGGGATTTAAAAAGTTTCAGTCAATTGTCATTTGAACTCCTAATTATCCAGCCAGCCTATCAGTCCATCCTTAAGACTCCCCTCAGCACATATAAGTAAAGTTCAAATTTTTCAAATTTTTCTGTCCAATTTAAAACACATCCTTTCTGTCCAGAGAGAGAAGAGCAATAAAAAACTGTTCATCAATCAAAGGTTTATAGTCCAAAGAATTCCATCATCTCAATCAATAATGCATGTTTCTTCTATAGGGAAATAGCTCCATGATGCAGCTCTAAAAGTCAGTTAGTATTTATATTCATAGTCCAGGCAGGCCAGTTTCAAAATAGTTTATTGTCTCTGCCACACAGATAAGCAGCCCAAGAGGTCCCCTCCCCTTTTCCCAGCTGCAGTCTTCAAAAGTGAAAGTTTCTGAAAACAACAAGAGTCTTATCTGAATCTGGGCTTCCAGCCAAGTTTTCTTTAGGTATAATAAATTGTAGTGCTGTAGTTCGCCACTAGATGTCGTTGATGCCGTCTTCCAGCTTTTTACATCCAAACTTATATTACAAGCTTTTTAAGTCTCTTTTTTTTAACTCCCCAAATTTCAAAGTTATTGCTTCTAAATTAATCTTGTAATTTTTTGCTTCTAAATTAATCTTGTAATTTTCTCTATTTCCCCCCAAGCAATTAATTTGCCGCTTTTCTTTTCCCGAGGGATTGGGGCAGAAACTCCCCTCCCCTCTCTCATGGGGGAGGATTCTTTGCTTTGGGCGTTTTTTCCCAGGAAAAAGTCTTAAAGTCATAAAGAGAGGATATGGTCTCACACAATTCCATCCACATTGCTTGAAAGTTGCTGGTTAATGCTTATTTTCTTTGGCTGTCAGCAGCTTCTGACTGGCCACACGAATGTAGCCAGTCTTTCCCCTGCCGGTTTGGAGGGCTTCCTCGGATCAAACGGGAGGGCTGCTGCCCTCCCATGATCAACAAGGGTCCCTTCCTTCTCCATCGCCTCTTCGGAGTGATTTTCGACCCTTTTTAGGGACCCCAGCGGGGCGAAATCGGAAGCCGGAGCCCTGTCTTCCTGCACCAGTCACACTGCGACGTCAAACAAAAAGTTTCCTGATGAAAGCTTTATATTGTTACATAGAGTTGATAAAGAAACTTGCTCAATTCCCATTCCAACCTAATATTTTTCAAATTTAAATATCCTCTTTTACATGGAATCACTGCTAAAGTGTTAGTTCCCTTACGAATGCCTGCAGCTGTGTCAAATCGGTCAGTCTAATTATTGTATTGTGAATTGTTGCAGTGGAAGCTCTGTTCCTTTTGTACATGCATTATGACATCACACTCACATCTGAAAGAGGTAAAGCTTTCAGCATTATGGTGCAATGATCCTTTTGTTATTTTTATACAAGAAGCAAGAATCTGCAGATACCCATTAATATTGTTAACATGTGCCAGCTAGATCCCATCCCCATAACATGCAGTACAATGTACTAAATTTTGTGTTTTGTCACCTGGCAGGAAAGAATAACTGCAAAATCCTAATATACATCCAAACAAGATAGCAGAATCGTTGGGAAAAGGGAGAAAAGTACATTTCTTTATGCCACTTCTACTATTTACTTCTTAGAAGACCAAACAACCAACAGAGTCAGTTAAAAATCCTACTTACACTATGAATAATTCTGAAGTGGATGAGACGTTAGTCCTACCACTCTTGATGTAAAATATATAAAAGTAGTGAATATTAACTAACACTTTTTAACTATGTATTTTTTGTCATTAGCAAATAGTCCAGGCTTGACCTCATTCTTCGAAAGACCAATATACAACATGCCAGACCTTCCAATTGAGAAAATATTAAATATTTCAATCCAACATTTAAAAATGACCATATTAGGAACTATAACTATATTTATAAACAGCCAACATAAAAAGCAGGAGTCATTAGAAAATTATTGCAATTTCCTTGTTACTGATAGTTTCCAATAGTTTCCAATACTTCTATATTTTATTATCTCTGGATATTAGCAGTAACCTTTCCCAACATGCTTTCCACAGAAGGCTAAGGAGAGAAGCAGGTTAGAAGCAATGTTTGGCTAAGCTAGCTGGAGATAATGGCTGTAACATTAGCAAGAAACAGAATGAGAACAGTTGATATACAGGTTAGAAGACTCAAGCATTCTTGGCAAAAATAGGCAAAGTCTATTGAATTCTTGAACTTACTTCTTTCATCCATAGCAATTTAGGTGGCTGCATTTCAACCGACATCACACCACCAACAAAGGACAGCACATTATGCTGTGTCTCATTGATGCGTGTTGCTTGATTAGCTGCACGATGGTCCATCCACATGATGATGTTTCTTTTGTGTTCTCCTTATAAAACAAAACCAAAGCCGTCATTGTTTCCACTAAAATATTTAGTACACATATTCTTCTATCCAGATACTTTCCATTACAAAGATATGCTTTTTTCATTAAAAACATGCACCGTACCTATAATTACAACATATTTAAACAGATCACAAAAATAGTCTCACGGGACTGCTGTAACGGGCACAACTACAATTAAGAAAATTCAATATTGACAGGTGATCCACCCCTTTTTCTGATTATACAAAATATTTGCACAGATTCTGCCTTCCTTCGGACTGCATTAGCAATTATAAAAGCTACAGTTAAACAGCAAATAAATGTATAAAAGCACCTAGACCAACATAGCATGTTCCAGAATTTCCTGTCATTAATTACTATTGTCTGACAGCCTTTAGCATATCACTTCAAAGTTGTAACCTCCATCTGAGTTCAAAAATCTTTTGGAAGACATTCCTTGGTTTGATTTTTGGTTTGTTTATTTGTTTGTTTGAGGTTTTGTGTGTGTGTGGCTTTCTCCATCTTGATGTCTTTACAGATGTCATTGTTCTACTAACATCTTTCTAAAATTCTTTGTTAATATCTTTCCTGAGATTTTTGTATTTCTTGGCTTCAGGTTCTTTATTCTTCCTGATAATTTTCATGGTTTGTTCTAACATCCAGTTTGATTTCTTCTGGGGTTTTTTTAATCTGGCAATTTTTTCCCCACTTTTCTCCTTAATAATTTCTTTAAGTTCATTTCACTGTTCCTCTGCCTATGTAGAAACTGAGGGCTTCAAAGTGATTCTTTTTGTTTTCCTTAAAAGTTGTTCTGTTTCAAGGCTGTTGATATGCACAGACCAACACAGTATTCGAAGCTTTCAAGTCAGAATCAGACTCTGAATCATGGCTTATAACAAAAATGGTAGGAATATGATCAATATCATTTTGTAGAAACTAATCAGCTGTCTTATTCCTCCTTAACTTGGCTTCACATTTTCACATGAGTAATTCATATTTTGTTTTACAGTCAGCCTCTGGCCACACTTTTGCTATTATAAGTGAGCTTTTCCATCTTCTTATACCAATAATATAACCAATTCCATTTCTGTGTAAGGCATCTGGGGATATTCACATTAGTCACTGGAAGTCTGTGCTAACAAGAAGACATTTGATAGAATTGTTAAAAATATTTTGATTTCCTAGGTAGTAGGGACCAACTATGTTTTCATTCTTAATGCTTTGACATTCCAGTCTCAAGTCACAATCTGGATACATTGATTGCGCATTTTACCAATTCCAGACAGGTGGTGATCATAAAATTCATCAGCTTCCTCTTCTTCTGCATCAATGGTTGGAGCATAGGTTTGGATAATTGTTAATAGGGTAATCTATAAAGTTTAATTGGTTTTATTCAATTACTGATTGCATTATAACCAGGTACTGTCCTTGCTATATCCTCGCTTGTTATGAAAGCAACATTTTTTCTTCTTAGTTAATTTAGTTTACTGAATAGTAACATTCCAGTCCACTCCAATTCAGTGGCTCCCTAAGATGCCAACGTATGGATGATTCATTTCATCTTTATGTTTATTTAAATTTTATAATGGAATACAAAAAGTAAATGCTGGATGTTGCTGTATTTGTTATATTATATTCCCTTTATCTAACAATAATGTTAAAACGAAGCTAAAATATTTTTATGTTGAAATATAATGAAAAAGTAAAAAAAAATCAATGGGTTGTATTTACTTTTTCATATGACTGTAATTGGGAAGGCAGGATTTGTCCATCTTTTTTTTAGGAGATACGGTACTCATAGTCAAAAAATGTCTGATTCCATGTAGTAATGCATGAGATCAAAAAGAAGACTATTTCCTTTGCCTTCTGACTGCAGCCCTGTGACTTAGCCCTCACTCTATAAAGAAATCTTTACTTCTTTCTGACACAGCCAAATTTCCTCTTTTGTGTTCACTTTCTCCTTCTAATTCACTTATCTTTTTACTTTAGATAAAACTTGATAGCAAATCTCCTTCCATAAAAATATATGAAAGTCCTATACACTTAAATACAAACATTTTAATCAAATCTATCTGAAAAGTGGGTAATTCGGTATCAGCACAATTTATAATTGAATTTATACTGGCTAAATTATCATTGCCCAGATTTTATTTTTAAATTATCATCTTACTATTGCAAATCTTAGTCATTATTTGAAGGTTTTACCTTCAGAGTTGACTGCCAAAGGATGAAAATGGCTATCCAAAACAACAAGGGAGCAGGTAGCATCAAAGCCAAGCCCTCGAATCTGGGAAATATTTATTCCTTGGGTAATTTTCTGTGAAAGAAAAAAAAAATTAAATAGATAGCTCACTTTTCTATTCATTGAGGCACACAAAACAGTTAATACAGTAGTGTATAAAGCTGAAGTTCAAATTAAACTTTAAATCCACAGCACTGCATACAGAGAGAGTATAAACGCCAACACTATATGATTATCTAAATTACTAATAAGGATAACTATATAACAGTTTGGACTATTGATTACTTTATCCATTGTTGATTAATTCGTTCTTCTTAAAAATCAATAATTATATTTTCCTTTACATTTAACTGATTGATTATATATTATAATGGAGATGCATGAGCTTGCGTATGTTGGTATATTGGTCAATAATGAGAATGAAACTATTAAACAAATGGTATCTGTAACTTCCAGCATAACAGGTTATTACTGTGGTTGTCAAAAATCCACTTCCAGAAAAAATAATTTGTTAAACTTCAACAATATTTTCTTACTAAAAAGCTCAGTGTGTTGATGAGCTCTCATCCAAAAGTGTTCTCATGATGTTTTTCCCAACTGTTTCACTGTGAGATCTGAGGAGAGATCTGTTAATATAAAATCTTTCATGGATACAGTACTTGTTTACCTGGTAGAATTGAACTGATCTGAAAACAACAATAACACCAAGAAACTGTACATCTTAGAACCCCGTCACTCTAATTTTAGTGACAATAGGTGTTCAAAGTCTCAGACATTTTTTTGATGTAGAGAGCCCCAGGGTTGGCCTTGAGGGAAATATTCAGAAGCCCTTACAGAAACAAAATTGACAAACCTATTTCTTAAGGGTTGGGTAATATCAAAAGAGACTCAGAATGGCTTTTCCCTGAATCATTAGGATATAAGAAGGAGGAATGGAAAAACACAGTGAGACTTGCATGATTGATATCAGCCTTTTAAGGTTCCCCAGATGAGGAAACAACTCTACAAGAAAACTAATCTTCCAAGTATGATGGTCCCTCTGTGTCCTTCTTCGGCTGTACTTAAAATGCATCCAGCTACATTTTAAAAGGTTTCAATTCTCTGAAAGCCATAATATTAGGCCCAAAGAAACGAAGGAGAATGGATGAAGGAAATTGGCAACTGGCTCACTGTGTCTACTTTGAGGATCAAGAAGCTATTCCCCCCACCAACTAAAAGACAAATAAAAAAACAAATATTAATGCCAATGAAAGTTTTTTTTTTCATCAGTGTCTGTTAGAATCACTCTTACCTTTTAAATACTTTGTAAATCAGATTACTAGAGTGTAATAACAATGTATTTAATCTTCAGGTTAAATAGGACAAGAGAGGGGATATGTGACGAAGAGAAGCTCTCTATTCTTATTGCATTATTCACATAACAATTGTTCTGGCCTCAACTCTCTTAGGACACTCACTCAATAGCACGGCTCATGAATGTTTAAAAAGACTGATCAATAACAAGAGAACAATGAACTGTCCATCTACAAATTACCAAGTATCTCATGCATATTTAAAAAGCCAACCTCAGAATATCGGCTGATTTGAATCCACATATTTTTTAGAGGACTAAAACACCTCACTGTCCCCTAATGTCCATTATCACTTCAGCCCATAGAATCCATATTAAAGCAAAGGAGCCAGAACCTTCTATTTTGCATTCATTATTTGATTTTCAGGTTTCATTTTCATTACAATGAATATACAGTTGCAAAATATAAACATATGCATGCCCTCTTAATCATCTTGAGGAAATTTATGCATGTTTTTTATCTGATCACGTGCTCAGACATACAGAATCGCTTTAAAAAAGCAAATAAGAATTTGGTATTTTTTTCTGAGTGCCTTATTGGATGACAAAAAAAAATACAACTTCAAGGTATAAATTTTGCAATAGAAACCCAACACATTCAAAACCGCCATGAGTTAGAAAAAGACTAAAGCTCTCCGTGCATCCCACCCTGCAAATTAATTAATGAATAAATTGCTCAATAAATGAAGGAGGTCCAGTCCAATAGCATTTATGCCAGTGGTTCTCAACCTTACGACCCCCAACCGATCGTAAGTCGAGGACTAAACCAGTCGTAAGTCGAGGACTAAACTGGTCATAAGTCGAGGACTACCCAACCGGTCGTAAGTCGAGGACTTTCCCTGCCCGGGAGTGCCGCACATGCGTAGTTCCGCCCCCTGCGCCGGCCGAGGCGTAGCTGGCAAGCGGCAGAGACGGAGCAGGCCAACCACCAGCTGGCCCAGCCCAAGGGAGGTAAGGCACCCGCCGGAAAAGGGGGAAAAAATGGCGGACAGCCTTGCTTGGCGACCCCCGTGAAATGGTCGATCGACCCCAAATGGGGTCGCGACCCTTAGGTTGAGAACCGCTGATCTATGCTATTTTTAATAGAGCTTTGTTACGAATATTGGAAGGGGTACAATTAAAACCCTGCTAGCCACATAGGAAGAAAACATTTGATAGAAAGAGAGAAAGAATGCAGCTGTAACTGACATATGACACATTTTGTCAGAAGCTGCTGTCAGTCTTTAAAACATGGCTATCATGCAGCCAAATATGAATCCAAAAGCCAAAATTTTGTGAACTTAACAGTGAAGAGATGGGTGATCTTCTAAAATCATGTGTGTCGGGGTGAATGTCACATTGCAATCATTTTCAAAGACAGCCAACTTCTCTCAGATAATTAGATAGGGTTCCTCAAAGCACGTAACATACAATAGTCATTTATTCACACTATATCTGTACCTTTGTGACTATACAACAAGCTGCCCAGATGTCATCAGAGGATTGTTCATAATAGTCAGGTTGCGGTGCCCAAATTTGAATTGGATGTTCTGCATAAGCCACTACCGTGCCAATCTGGTCTACCAAAGCCGCACGGACACTCGATGTGCCAACATCAATTCCAACATAGTAATTTACTGGTCCCAGGTTCTCACTTTGCATTTTGAGCAGGCTTCTGGAAAACAGAGAAATAAAAATTGAATCTGTAAAAGACACCTGATTTAGACAGCCTTGGAGAATACTGTACTTGCAAAGCAGCAAATTCTTAACGTTAAGCATACAATTTGAAATTGATAAAAATTTTGGTAATTCTGCATAGAATATTTATGTAGTTAATCAGTCATTTATTTAAAAAAAAATCTGTATCACCCAGTCCAAAGATTCTGGATAGCTTATACTGTAATAATATAACTCTATATAAAAACAACACCCTAAATATTCAATTAATACAATTAAAATCCATTTAGAGTAAAATAAAAAATACCCCTCTCAAAACCTGGACACCAAAATGTTGTGGTTCTGTCACCATATCTGGACACTGTGTAAACCTGGATATGAAGGACCCAACTCCAACTCAATTCTACCAAGACCAAATGGTTGTGTTTATTAGGGCTCCCTAGACCTGGCAATTGTCCATCTTTATTCGTGGATAGAACTACACTTCCCCTCTCAACAATGATATACAATCTGGGGTCTTTATGGATTCTCAGCTTCTGCTCAAAGAGTAGATGACACTATGGACAAGGAGGCCCTCACATTGTTTCTAAAGTCCCTGATAGCCTCAAGGATCCAGTTCAAGACTATTATAGTATCTCCAGCTTGATTTGGGGTTGTGATGTAAAAATGAGTATAATCAGCATACTGGTGATACTTAGCACAGGTCAAAGGACGATCTCCCACATCAGTTTCATACAGATGTTAAATAACATTTGGACCAAGCACTGTGAATCACAATACTAGAATAACTATTGAATTGATTGCTTTTCTCTCATTACTGTTACTACTATTGTACTACTATTACTACTACTACTAATGACTAGAACTTGCCCACTCTGTGAGGAACTAAACCAGGGGTAGGCAACCTTGGCTCTTTTATGACTTGGGGACTTTAATTCCCAGAATTCCTGAGCCAGCATGGCTGGCTCAGGAATTCTGGGAATTAAAGTCCCCAAGTCATAAAAGAGCCAAGGTTGCCTACCCCTGAATTAAACCAATGATGAAAGTACCGTATTTTCCGGTGTATAAGACGACTTTCTAAACCCTGAAAATCTTGTCAAAAGTCGGGGGTCGTCTTATACGCCCAGTCGTCTTATACGCCGGAAATACGGGTATTCTATTTTATTCCTTTACACATGTGGTTTGGCATATTACTCATCAAGTTTTCTCTCCCCCCCCCCCTCTCTCTCGCTCAAACTCTATATTTTAACTGGAAAAATTGGGGGTTGTCTTATACGCCCAGTCGTCTTATACGCCGGAAAATACGGTACATCTAAACTTTGTAAGAAAAATACTATTTTGGAAGGTTTTGAACAATACTTAAGGATCTAATATGACCAAGAGGGATACACTCCCCACATCCAAGTCCTGATTAAGATAATTCCCTAGAGCAGGCATGTCAAACTCGCGTGTCACGTGATGTCATGCGATGTATCGCGACTTTTTCCCAATTGCTGGCAATGGGGTGGGCGCAGTTTCAGCGTGATGCATCTGGCCCACAGGCCAGCAGTTTGACATGCCTGCCCTAGAGCAGTAGTGGCGAACCTGTGGCACCAGTGCCAGAGGCAGCACTCAAAGCCCTCTCTGTGGACACTCACGCTGTCGCGCCAGACCTACCTCCCCCGTGGCCCCCACCTCACCAGCAGCCCCCCAGAGGTCACCCCCAAGCACAGCTGGTGCGGAGCAGCGCAGCCAAGGACATGGCAGCCGGGCAGCAGGGACAAGACTCCGCCCTTGTGCCCTGTCGCACGCAGATGATGCTGCAGGGCGCAGGCAGACGGCATGGCCACCATGGTGCTGCAGGGCCGCCTGGGCGATCTGTGGCAGGGCGTGGAGGCAGCGGGTAGCCCTGCAGGTGGGTGGGGCCGGGCTGGGGGCGGAGCAGGGGCAGAGCAGGAGTGGAACGGGGCAGGCGGGGTCGGTTTTTGGGCACCCGGTCTCTAAAAGGTTCGCCATCACTGCCCTAGAGCAATAAATGCCTTTTTTTATCCCACACCTGGGGGATAAACTTAATTAATTACAAAGATTTTACTTCTTCTATGATTCTTTGTTGCCATCATTTTCTCAACAATCTTCATCACAAAAAGAAAGTTGGAAACACTGAGAGTTAATACAATTGAATTGAGAGATGGCCTCTACAACAGAGAGTCCACTGCCTCTTTCAAAACAATAACCTTCTCCCAGAGATGTTCATCAATTTCCAAATCCCACTACAAGCACATCCCATTGACTATTTGAAGAAGCCAGGTAAGTGTTACACATATGGCAATGCCACACTACAGGGAATTTCCTCACTTCCATAAGGTCAAAAGGATTCCAGATAACATTATTAATCATTGTCCTATTCACCTTGCCTAACTCTGCCTAACTGGTATCAAGACCCATAATTTTACACATAACTCAGAACTTATTATGAACAATTTTTTAACATTTGTTGCCATTTGGAGAAGAAATAAGGGACATAATCATATTTAAAGTCACACATTGCCACCCTAGGACATGTGAACCTTGGCCATAGTATACACCAGGGGTCTTCAAACTTGGCCCTTTTATGACTTGTGGACTTCAACTCCCAGAATTATTTTATGACTTGTGGACTTCAACTCCCAGAATTCCTCAGCCAGGTACGCTGGCTGAGGAATTCTGGGAGTTGAAGTTCACAAGTCATAAAAGGGCCAAGTTTGAAGGCACCTGGTATACACTCAACCAGAAATATGACTATTCTTCAATGCTAAAGGTAATTCTTCTGTAGTACACTGACATTTTTGTAAATGTGATCATGACACATTTTAAAAACAAAGTGAAAGATCCCTCAAGTTACTGCACCGCTAGAAACCTATTTGAGCCCATTTGTTCACCAAGCAGATCATTATCACTTTTACAAATAAGTGTTAGCAAGTGGATTGTGTCGCAATATAGTTAGAATACATACAAATGTAAACAGTAAATATTTACCATCTTTTCACTACTAATTATTACTTATAGTCAAAACATCATGGTATAACAAGCAATTCTATAAAGTGCCACTTTGTGCCTTAGCTACTTTTTAATAAAAGCTTCTGAATATGAAAATTAAAAGAAAATAATCTGTACAAAATTTTGGTTAACTCTTTCAGAAATTATAAAAAGCTCAAAATTAAGTCAAACTACAATAGTAGAATTTCTCAGCCCAATATTGCATTTATTTTTAAATTATCCTCTTTATTGTTAAACAGTTTTTAAGCAAAAAACCAACAATAAGTACTTTTTTTACAAATCCTAGAAGTGGAAAGCTTCACAAACTACACTTAACGATCAAAGAGTCATAGTGCATAATAAATATTCATACAGTCCAGCAACCAGTAATCTGCAGAGATATTACTCAACCTGTGTATACAGCAAAGCACATACTTCCTGCTTTCTCCTTGAATAAATTTTCCAGTTTTTTGGCACTGAACCATGATGACAGAAGCAGAAAATAAATAGTCTTTGGAAGTCTGTTTTTTTTTTTAAATAAAAAAAAAAAAATCCAGAGCATTGTTTAAAGTGAATAGAAGCAAACACGGAGCTGATCAAACCAGCCAGGAAACAAAAGAAACAAGTTTTTAAAAAGTTTGATTGCTGAAATGACCATGAGATCAATCAGTGATAAAGGGTCTTTTACATTCTCCAAGGACAATTATTACTAGGATATACTTTCTTAATATTTTTCCTGGACAAAAATAAGGCAGAATGAAGATTTATTGTAAAAAAAGCAATCACTTCTAATATGATGCCTAATGTACAGTATATATTGAACTTCAACTCCATAACTTCATTAACTACTACCAATGACCAACTAATCTTGAAAACCTGCTATTTAATAACTACATATTTTCTGGTACTGGTCCATGGCTTGTTAGCAACTGAGCTGCACAAGCAACGGCTGAGCAAGTGAACTTCTCTGAGCATGCACAGGATCTAGGTTGCACATGAAACCATCCCCCACTCCTGGTCTATGGAAGATATGGATGTACGGTAGCTACTTCTGATTAAACCAGAGGTATAAACTCACTGTGGTTGATAAACTATAGTTAATGACTAAGGGTAATGTCGTGAACCTAATCAATTGTAACATTTTAACAAACCATGGTTACCAAACTGTAAGATATTCCATGGGAAACTTATGAGGGCATTATAAAATAATGCCTCAGCCAGAAAATTAGTAGAATGTATGGGTTGGGAGGGAACCTCAGAGATCCTCTGTTACAACACCCGCTAAGTGCTATTATGGCACCTGTAACAAATAGCTATACAACCTCTGCTTAAATAGCTCCAGGGAAAGAAATCCATCATCTTCTGAGGCAATCTGGTCCATTGTTAAACAACATTTGCCAGTTCACGTAATCCTCATCTTCTAAACCAGGGGTAGGCAACCTTGGCTCTTTTATGACTCGTGGACTTCATGGCTGGCTCAGGAATTCTGGGAGTTGAAGTCCACGAGTCATAAAAGAGCCAAGGTTGTCTACCCCTGTTCTAAACTATAATGGAGCTTGGAATATGGGCTTACGTCATGCCAGTCGTTAAGTGAATCATCGTGGTCGTTAAGAGAACTCATTGTCTGCAAGAATGTTTTTTGTTGGAAACTGCAAGTAAACTGGAAATAAACATTGCTTTCCAGCAAGTGTGTGGGGGGGAGGGGCAGCCATTGGAACTTCAAATCTGAGTCCTAAGTATCTTTTTTTGTGTTTGTCATATCTTCATATCGTAAGTTGAGTACTGCCTGTACGAAATTCTTCCTGATTTCTAATCAAAGTTTGTTTAGAGGCAATTACAACTCACTGCTTCTTGAAACAATAACACTTCTCTTGATGCTGCCTTTGATGGCATTTGCTTTTTTGTAACAGGATCACTCTATTTACACTCCATTAAGGTTCTTTTTTGCATCTACTTCTGCCAGATATGATTGCTCTAATCATATATTCATGCCATGGATTGTTTTTATGCAAATAAAAAACTACACATTTGTCCCTGTTGAAATTTATGTTGCTGGCTTCTGTCCACTGACTAGCGTGTCAAAATCCTCCTGAATCTAGAATCTGTCCTCTATTTACTCTTCCTTCATCTATCTCCCAAATTTGCAAGTCTCATATTTTCTAACCCTTCATCCAAACAGAAGATGGCCTAGAATGGAGTCTTGCAGCTCTCACCTCCTTCCAGCTTGAGGTACACTTATGGCTATAAGTGTGTCCAACTAATGGTAATACAGTCCAGCCCATATTTTGTTATCTTCTCTATAAATGTTTCATAAGAAACACTGTCATATATTTTGTTGAAATTTAAATAACTATGTCTATTACACTCCCACAGCCAATTAAACAGTCTGCTCTTTAAAAAGAAAAAGAGAAAATTAGTTCAGTTTGACAATTACCTGGCTCTGGCAATACAATGATGGTTCCTGCCATGTAACATATTCCTCTCTAACTAATCACAAATCAATTGCCTAATAAACTGAACCATAGTTTTTGTAATGGCGTATTCACAGTTGAGCAGTATTCAGGGAGTGGGCAGACATGTGAGAAAACATTTGCAGATATCTGCACATTCCTCAATTATTTGGGAAACACATTGCCAGCCCATTGATTCATCATTGGGACACTGGAAAGGAACCAATGTCCTAATGAGCAGATATGACAAACCGGCTTCTTAAAAAGAAAGTAATCTAGTTGTAGAAATTTTCTATAATAAAATCTCTTTCCCTTGTAATAAATCCTGTTAAAAATGATTCCAAGAGAATGATGTTTTTGGTAAACTTACTGCCAAGAGCAAGGGTCTTCAAACTTGGCCTTTTTATGACTTATGGACTTCAACTCCCAGAATTCCTCAGCCAGGCATGCTGGCTGAGGAATTCTGGGAGTTGAAGCCCACAAGTCACAAAAGGGCCAAGTTTGAAGACCTCTGGCCAGGAGCTTAACACTCATATCAACAACACTTATAAGGAAAGGCCACATTTTATTATGTTCTTGACTAAAACCATGGCTATGGCTTGACTAAAGCCCTCTGGGAACACCACTTACTGGTGAACAAGTCATCAGTGCTACAGTTCAACATTCAACTGCAGCACTGAATTATTGGTATAAAGCTCAATACTTGGTTAATGTCAGCAACTGGGTTGCTTTGAACCAGCTATGGCGATTCTTGCCGATCCAACCATGTTTTCTTGTTACCAGAGCTTGTTACCAGACAAATAGGGAAGATCCCCAAATAAATTTGTTCTTTTTATCCTTTAGTGTAGGCTATACATTTAATTGGGGATAACTGAAATTTCCCCACGTTCCGTATGGATGAGATTTATCCTTGGGCTCTTGACTTATAAGCTGCCAAACAGGAAATTACTCTGGTAGACAATAATAATCCTGTGATGGATAGCTATGCCAATTTTATGCAGATACTCAAAGATGCTTTTAAAACCCAGCCAGAAAGCTAATCAAGAAATTAGCAAATTGTGTCAAGGTGTGGTAGATAGTCACAGATAAGTCTTTCAATTCTATCTGAAAGGTGGAGACTGAAATGAATTAGCTTTAATTCTTCAGTTTAAAGAAGGCTTATCAACTGAATTGCAAGATGAGCAAATTTATTAGGATATACCAGAGATATGAGCGGATTTGCTCCTCTAAACTGTATGAATATAGATGGTAAACTAGAAGGGTTAAAATACACTGGGGGGATGGAAAACAGAAGAAACACCCTTACAATGACTTCTTTGTTCCTGGACTCTAATTTCTTCTGGAATTCAGTCTATCCACACTGACCCTACTTTTCAGCTACAGAAGGAAACTAGAAGTTGAGATTTGTCTTCTTATCACTTGCTACTGCACTGTTCAATGAGTAGGAAGTGCACTTCTTTTTCTTCCACTTTTCAACTGACACAGACCCCAAACTCCAGTTGCTGTCCTTTACTAAGTGAAACTAAACTCCTTTTCCACGTTAGCCTAACTTTATTTCTGCTGATAGCTACTTGCTCGTGTGCTTCCTTAAGGCTAATACATGGTTCCTATAGATGTCCTTGCTTAAAACTCTAGGTCAGTTGAAAGTTCCTTTGGTCTACAATGGTTTCTTAAGCTGCCCCATTTTTTCTTGTGACTGAAATGGGGTACAATTATGCACTCAAAAGAAATGCAGAAGGGTTTAGAACAGGGGTCTTCAAACTTGGTCCTTTTATGACTTGTGGACTTCAATTCCCAGAATTCCTCAGCCAGCATGCCTGGCTGAGGAATTCTGGGAGTTGAAGTCCACAAGTCATAAAAGGGCCAAGTTTGAAGACCCCTGGTTTAGAATATCTTGTTTTTCAGAAATCTTCTACTCTTCTGCAATTCCCTTTAACCTCAATACTTCTCTAAGCTAGCTGAAATTGTCTCTCCTAAAACCAAGTGTGACTATGTTCTAATTTTTCTTTCTGCAGTATCTTGATTCTGAAGATGACACATCACCTCCACTCAAGTTTCTGGCTGCTTTTACATCCCCCCCCTTTCCCTATTAATTAGAACTAATTCTGCAGTTGATAACCTTATCTCATCTTCAATTTTTTGAAGCAGTTAGAAAAATCAATTTAAAAAATTCTGAAGCCATTAGACCAGAAATGAGAGAACTGTATTTCACCAACTACGTTCTATGAACATAACCATTGAAATTAGATTTTGGTTCTGAGTTGTCATGCAAACTTATAAACTTGACTATGTAAAACATGGTTGAGCAGGGATAATTATGCATGAACCCTGCAAGTGATTTTCCTTCCTTCCTTCCTTCCTTCCTTCCTCCTCCTCCTCCTCATCATCATCATAATAGAGTTGGAAAGGATCTTGGAGGTCTTCCAGTCCAACCCCCTGCTCAGGCAGGAAACTTAACTTCCTTCCTTCCTTCCTCCCTCCCTTCTTTCCCATCCTATCCTGAGGAGCAGGTATAGACTACTGCTCAAAGGGTGAGCCAGACTTGGGGAGAACCCAAATCAACTTGCGTCTTAGCCTTGGAGACTCATTGTGTGGTTTTGTGCTGTCACTCTCACTGCAACTTAGGAGTTACAGAACTGTGTGTTTTGGAGGAAAAAACTGGAACTAGTTTGAGCTCCTGCAGGAAAGCCAAGAAAGCAATCTAACAAATGAAGCGAAGAAAATGCCCCTGGCAAGGACTTTCATTTCAGCTATCGGTCTCGTTATTTTTTTTTTTTCCCCCAGGTAGCTGCAAGGGAATTCGCGTTCTCCTTAGTTAACGCTGAGACGGTTCGCTTTACTCCTTACTATATTTTCTCACCTGTTTCCCAGGCTCGGTCATCAGGTGCCCAATAAAAAAAATACTAATTCTAGAATGCAATGGCTCTGCTGTCACTTTACGAGCAGAGAAGAATTTCTACGGTACCATACTTTTTTTTCCCCGGGCATACACGCGGGGGGGGGGAATCCAAGCCAAACAAACCCACTCGCGTCGCAGGCGGAAGGAGGAGGACCCGGCTCCTTTTCTGAGAGGCGCCCAGAGGCAGCCCTTCGACGGAGGTGGGGGGGGGAGGAGAGCGTGTTTTTGTCCTTTACGGCAGAGAGCGCCAACCTTGGCAAGTCTCGTGGACTTCAACTCCCAGAATTCCTCAGCCAGCTTTGAAGTCCCCCAAGTCTTAAAATCGCCAAGGTTGGAGAGCCCTTGCTCTACGCAGTGTTTCTCAACCTTGACCATTTTAAGGCATGTGGACTTCAACTCCCAGAATTCCTCAGCCAGCATTGCTGGCTGTGGAATTCTGGGAGTTGAAGTCCACATGCCTTTAAATTGTCAAGGTTGAGAAACACTGCTCTACGGAAAGGCCAGGCAAGGCGCCGTAAGAGGAGGGTTTCTTGCGACAGGACGCTCCGATACACAACCTATTATTTTCCTGGGAAAGCGAAAGCCACTTACTTGCCCGAAAGTGAAACACGATCTTAGCAAGCAAGCGGTGGGGGTCAAAAGCAACGATCACCACGCGCTTGATGAGCAACCGCCGGGGCTCCTGACAGAGCAATTTCCGGCCTTCGGGGGAGCCGCCGTGACCGGGGAAAAAAAAAAAAAAAAAGCCGCACGCCTTTTTTTTCCCTTGGCAGGAGGGCATTTGTCAATGCTTTTTCTGATTGGTCTGTTGACCGAGCGCCCCCCCCTCCCGCCTCGCTCTCAAATGCGATGGTGGGGGCGGAGAATAAGGCGCTCCTTTCCCCGAAAATGCTATTTTTCTCTCTGCCGCCTCCATCCCCCACCCCGTTTCTACTCACGGTTCTTACTATTTGCAAAATCGAGAACAGAATAACATAGTTGGAAGGTAGCTTGGAAGTTTTCTAATCCAATCCCCTGCCCAAGCAGGAGACCCTGGCCTATACCATCCCGGACAAATGGCTGTCCAATCTCTTCTTTAAAATATTTCAATCAGAATAGAGCTGGAAGGGACCTTGTCCAACCCCCTGCTCAAGCAGAAGATCTATAATCCTTTCAGATAGGTGGCTGAGCAGTCTTTGCTTTAAAACTTTCAGTGATGAAGCACCCACAACTTCTGAAGGCAAGCTGTTCCACTGGTTCGGAGGTAGGCAACCTCGGCTCTTTTATGACTCGTGGACTTCAACTCCCAGAATTCCTGAGCCAGCATGGCTGGCTCAGGAATTCTGGGAGTTGAAGTCCACGAGTCATAAAAGAGCCGAGGTTGCCTATCCCTGCACTGGTTAATTGGCCTTACTGTTAGGAAGTTTCTCCTTAGTTCTAGGTTGCTTCTCTCCTTAATTAATTTCCATCCATTGTTTCTTGTCTTGCCTTCTGGTGTTTTGGAAAAGGAGTTGATCCCCTCTTTGTGGCAGCCCCTCAAATACTGAAATATTGCTATCATGTCACTCCTAATCCTTTTCTCTAGACCGGCTATACCCAATTCCTGCAACCGTAAGTGCAAGACCTAGCTTTTCTCCACATTAAATTTCATGTTGTTGGATAGGGCCCATTGTTGAAGTCTGTCAAGATCTTTTGGATCCTGAGCTGTGTTGTCCTAGCATCTCCTGTGTTGGATATGCTAGAGGTAGGATGTAATAAAGCTTAAGATCTGCCTCCTACTCTGTCTCTCTTTTTAAGCAAAAGTTTTATCGATTTTCTTTTTCTTGGCTTGCCAAGATCTGTCTTTTTTTTCCCCCTTGAAATATCAAGGGAAAAAGGCTGAAGGGTCTTAACTGATGCCCTCCAAGCTAAGTAATACTGAACATATTTTAATTTAGGGTGATGGCTAAGAGCAGCCTACAAATAAAACGACTGTATTTTTATTTGAACTCTAGGAAGTATTCCATTAAAAAAAATCTAACAGTAACTAGGTTCACAATTGCATTAATCTAGGTTGTACGTCAAAAAAATAATAATTGACTGGATACTAAATTTTATTCTGACTACACTAAAAAACACTAGCTATGGTATGGTTTCCTTGTTTGTGGGCGCAATGCATTTCTGTGAAGCTAGTAATTATGCTACTGCTAGCCATGTTTATATACTCTGGTATGTGTGAACCCAGCCAATTAAGGTTCATTTTTAAAAAGCGATGGCCGGGTTCACACATACTGGGCCATGCAATCATGACTAACAGTAGCAAGTCAGAACCAGCCATTAAGTTAGCATAGTTATAATTCACCTGGTTCATATATCATGGAAATGCATTATTGGCATGTATTTATGACGGTTGCAATGCATTATTGGCATGTATTTATGACGGTTGCAATGTCCCGGGGTCATGTGATCACTGTGACCTGACAAGCAAAGTCAATGGGGAAGCCAGATTCACTTAACAACTGTGTTACTAACTTAACAACTGCAGTGATTCACTTAACAGTGGCAAGAAAGGACATAAAAATGGGGCAAAACTCACTTAACAACAGAAATGTTGGGCTCAATTGTGTTATTAAATTGAGGCCCCACCTGTACTCAATGCTATTTAACACAGAGACATTTTAGCACCTTTGTATATATAGCTGCTCAATGGGTCAGTCTCCCTTTGCTCTCATCTGTTATAGGAAAAAAAACCCAGACAAATGTGTTTATTTGAATCACCAATTGTGAGGAGTTGCATAAATACACAACTTGCACAGTCCATTTGAGTTTGCAAAACATGTGGATTCTGAACTTAGAAACTTATAGAATCAATATGTATTCCATGCTGTGTTTTAACTTTTCTAAGTGATCTTCCTAGGAAGATTAGCACAGTTACATCGCCTCTCTGCTACAAAAATTTTGCACTGTGAATGAAAGTTCCTAGTTTTCCTGCTTTAAAAGTAAAAAAAGAAAGCCAACAATAAATGTAGGATAAATCAATATTGCTCCAATTTGGCCTGCTGTCCATTTGACCACTAATCTCATCTAATTTAGTGGGTCTAAATAAGAGGTGGCATCTTTGAAATATTCTCCCTGAGTTAGACCCCATGTGACACTTACTGGAGGAAAATTTCTTTGCATAAATCTGTCCTAAAAGGTTCACTTAATCATATTGCTTCACTAGCAGCAGTAGCCTTTGAAGCCAGAGACCTGACATTTTGAGAAATGGAGAGAGTCCATAAATATAATATTTCTTATTAACTATTGCAGCACAAAATAACATTTACAATCAGGATTGTGATGTTTGTATAATTCTAGGAGCTTTGAAAAGTATTTCCATATTGTGAATGTGTATGTGCTAGGCTATTTCTTCTCTGATCTATGCTAATCCTATAAAAATGTTTTCTGTCCATCCTTTATATTACCATTTTTATATTTGCTGTGCAAAACACAGTCATATAATAGGCAGCGGCAAGTTTATCATATATCTCTTGAAATCTTTTTTCCCCCCTTTATTCAGGTTAAAAGTTAACCTTGTTTTTCTCCTTGAAAGGTTCTTCCAGTTCACTTGAGATCTATCACAGAACAACCTGGCTACCAAAGCATTACCACATGAGTCATCAATTACTCATGAACCCTTGCTATAATACAATTTATCTTAGTTGCTGTGGCATTTTTGTGAACTTTTTTTTCATTAAAGTTCTTCGCTATATCCCTTCTTTGTCTTCCTCATAGACATCATCTCCTTAAGGAACAATAAAAATTAGATTTGTTTGACCTGTAGTAAGGGTTCATACAGGCAAGAAGATTTAATTGCTCTGCTTGGTCTTCCAGACAGCTTTTATGCAATAATTCAGACATCCACACTGTTGTGTTTGTCCAAGGATGGATGCCTGCATAGTAGGATTTACCATTCACTACACATTGCCTTAGCTCCCCTGGGAAATCACTTGCTGTGAGATAGCATTAATTAAAAACTTGCATCATTGCCATGTCTTGATTTCAAATGACCTGTGCTCTTCTTTTTCATGTCAACTTTTATAGTACAATTAATTCTACAAGAACATCAATAGCGGTCCAAATCTTCATGGCTTAATCCACAGTCAAAACTTTGTACACAAGAGCTAAGCTTTAAATAGTATGTCATTTGAATGTTGCCCTGGATCTTTCCAGACATCATCCTTTGGCTTCCATTCCTTCCCTTCCCTTCTCATTTCTCCTGTCCTAGTTTTCTTCTATTTATCTAAAACATCTCCAGTCCATTTTCTTTCTTCCAAAAATCCAGCATCTCTGCCTATAGTTGCCTTGGCAATGCAAGCCATATTTTCTTGTAATACACCTGCATGTTTCAAACTTGCCCCACATTTTTATATTTTATGCCAAAAGAAAGAAAAGATGGAAAAATAAGTATAAATCAATAATAAATCATAATGTTTGTTCTTTCAGCCAACTGGAAATTCTATTACCCTTTGAGTTTTTATCTCTCTCCAAAAAGACTGTTTTGAAAACATTATCATCTTTGTGCTTGTGAATGTCTGCATCATAGGATGTCTCCTTCACTTGAAATCAAATATGCATTCGGGATATGTACATCTGTATTTTATTTCCCCCCCATGTGTCATTCACATTTTATTTTACAATGGTAAGACATTTACGTTAACTGGGATGCCATTCATTCTAATCAACAGTGTCACAGTGCATCTAATTTCATTATCTCTGCTTCTGTCATTTGCAGTACTGCATACTAAAAGGTGGTAGAGAATTATATATTGGATACTAGTCTAAGAATAGAAGCTAGATGTCATTATCATCATGCAAAAGAGACTTTATAACTGTTTTAGACTGCAGAACCATAGAAGCATAATTAGAAACAGGTCATATTGAGATGGGCTGGTGGGATTTTCGCAGCATGTTATAGGCACTCCCATAAGATGGCTGTCCCGGAAAACTTCCCTGACATAGCATGCCCTGCCAGCTACAAAACAACTATTTTTACCAGACTTATTCAGAATTCTCCTCTAGAATGCTGTCAACATTTCTAAGGAATACTAAAAACATCCTTGTCACTAAGGATATAGCTGGAGAAAAAAATGGGTAACCTTCAGCCTCTCGTCCTCATGCAGCCCACAGACTTCAAGCAAGGCATTAAATTAAGTGGAAGTAGAGAAGATTCAGTAATGAAGATTATCAAAAGGGCTGGAGCACCTTCCTTATGAGGAAGCATTGCAACATTTCTGGCTTTTTAATCTAGAAAAGAAGCAAATGAGAAGAAGAGTTACAAAATTATGCACTGAGTGGATGAAGTGGACAAGGATAAACTTTCCCCATCCAAAAAAAAGCCTAATACCAGAAATCACCCAATGAAATTGAACCCTGGAAGAATCAGGATGGGCAAAAAGATGTGGGTTGTTTTTGTTTCTTACATAGCGTGTAATTAAATTTTGGGATTTGCTACCAGGAGATGTGCTGGTTACCAGCTTGGCTGCTCACTCAGTGGGATTCCTCGTTCAAGGTTGTAATAGCTGGACTGGGGGTTCAATCCAGCAGAACTGCTTACATTTTTTGTTCCTTCCCCAAATCCCCTCCTTTCATCTGCAACCAAAGTCACATTAACCA